CCTGGTGGTGGCGCAGCCGCAAACACCAGCGAGCAGCAGGCAGCAGCAGCAGCAGCAGCAGCAGGAGAGGAAGGGCAGCAGGCTTTGCATGCAGCGCAGCAGAGTACAACAGTGCTGTCGTGGCTGCTGCAGTGGCATATTCTTGCTGCAGTAGCAGCAGCAACTTTGCTGCTGTGTCTCCTCACTTGGGCTGGTTATCAGTGCTGGGTAGAGCAGTCTGCTGCCTTGTGCATGCAGCAGCTGCAGCAGGAAGAAGCTGCTGCTGCAGCAAGACACGCTGCAGCAGCACGGGCCGCTCAAAGAACTGCTGCTGCTGTTACTGCTACTGCTGCAAGACATGACGCACACCGTGCTGCCTTCGACAGCAGCAGCAGCAGCAAGCAGCACAAACAATCTAAAGCTGCTCAGCCACACCCTAGGAAAGGCCAGCAGCCTACTAAGAAACAACTGCAGCAACGCCTGCAGCATCAGCAGCAGCAGCAACAGCAGCAGCAACAGCAGCAGCAGCAACAGCAACGGCAACAGCAACAGCAGCAACAGCAACAGGAGCAGCAACAGCAACAGGAGCAGCAACAGCAGCAGGAACAACAGCAGCAACAGCAGCAGCAGACTAAGCAAACAGCTGCTGCTGCAGCTGCGGTTGCTGCTATGGAAGCAGCAAGCACAAAGGGACGCTCTGAAGAGGCATCAGAAGACTGGGCGGCAGCAGCAGATGCTGCTGCTGCCGATGCTCCTGTTGCTGCTGCTCCTGGTGCTGAGCCTCCTGCTGCTGTGGCTGCTGCCGAAGCTCCTGCTGCGGTTGAAGCTGCTGCAGCAGTCCTTGCTGCTGCTGCAGCGGAAGCAGAAAGTGCAGCGGCAGCAGGAGCCAAAGATACAGGAGGCGCTGCAGCAGCAGCTACTTCTGCTGCTGCTGTTTGCTCCACGGCTGACCCGGCCTCTCCTGGGGCGGAGGACGGAGGAGAGAGCAGCAGCAAGCAGCATCAGCAGCAACAACAGCAGCAGCAACAGCAACAGCAGCAGCACCAACAGCAACACCAGCAATGCCGCGGGAGTGGTGAAGCGGCTTCCAGTAGCGCAGCAGCAGCTGCAGCAGCATCAGCAGCCGCTGCTGCAGCAACTGTGTCTGCAGCTGAGCAGCAGAGGGATGGGCGTGCTGCAGGCGCGAAGGGCCGCAGGAACAAGCATCAGCAGCAGCAGCAGCAGCAGCAGCTGCAACAGCAGCAGCAGCAGCAGCAGCAGCAGCTTAGTGGGAAGTGCCCGAGGACGAAGGCTGAAGGGGCGGTTGCTGCAAAGTGCGGCAGCAACAACGCGCAGCAGCAGCAGCAGCAGCAGCAGCTGGCAACAGATGCAAGCCCTGTTGCCGCTGCTGCTGCGGCGACCAGCAAAGCAGCAAAGCAGCTGCCAGCAGCAAAAAAGGGAGCAGCAGCAGCAGGAATTGATGGGACTGCTTTTGCTGCTGCAGACGCTTCAAGTGCAGGTACAGCCGTAGAAGGGGCGGGCTCCAGCAGCAACACTCAGCAGCAGCAGCAGCAGCAGCAGCGTGCTGCTGCAGGCGCGCGACAGCGGGAAGAGCTGCAGCTGCTGCAGCAGATGATACAGTTCTTGGAGCAGCAGCATATACCCTACTGGCTGCAGCGGGGCGAGCTGCCTGACGCTGCACTGGGGTGCATTAGCAGCAGCAGCAGCAGCAGCAGCAGCAACAGTTTGCTGCAGAAGTTTGGGTGGAAGCATATAAAGGGTGGGATGGGGAGACAGGGCTGCATACGATTCCCCAGAAAGCTTGCTGCTGACTACTTGGTTGCTGCTGCTGCTGCTGCTGCTGCTGCTGCAGGAGCGGGACGGTCAGACGCAAATGCAGCAGCAGCAGCAGCAGCGGCACCTGCTGCTGCTTTCCAGGGAAGGCAGCAGCAGAAGCAGCAATCTGCTGCACGCCACGACTCTGCGGCGAGCAGCAGCATTTGCAGCAACAGCAGCAGCAACACCAACAGCAGCAGCAGCAGTAGAGCTGCATTTAAGGGGAAGGAGGCGTCGCCCCGCAGCATTTTATCTGCTGCAGCATCAGCGCAGCGAACAATGCAGAAACAGCAGCAGCAGCAGCAACAGCAGCAACATCAGCAGCATCATCATTATCATCAGCAACAGCAGCAGCAACAGCACAAGACAGGTTATTCTCCCGCAGCAACGCGAGGAGGCAGCGGGCCTTTTGCTGCTGCTTTCCTCCACTCAGCAGCAGGAACAGCAGCAGCAGCGCCAGCAGCAGCAGCAGCAGCGCCAACAGCAGCAGCAGCAGCACCAGCAGCAGCAGCTGCTGCAAGGGGTTGGGGACCATCTGCTGCACGCGATGAACAGCAGCAGCAAAAGGGTTGGTGTGAGGTGCTTTTCGGGCCTCGCAGCAACTCTGAAGCAGCAGCAGCAAACAGCACTAGCAGCAGCAGCAAGAGCAGCAGCAGCAGCCGCCCCAGTCGCAGCAGCAGCCACGTGGTGTTGCCGTCGGTACCCATGTCTCCTATCACCCCCCCGAGAGCAGCAGCAGCAGCAGCAGCAGCAGCAGTGGGCTCTCCTATTGGCGCTGGCAGGAACTCGCTGCATGGTGACAGCAGCAGCAGCAGCAGCAGCAGCAGCAGCAGTGGTTTCCCTCGTATGCAATCATTTCCTTGCGAGGCAGCATCAGCAGCTGCAAGGCCTGGTTCTGCAGCGATTGGCAGCAGCAGCAGCAGCAGCAGCAGCAGCAGGGTTCTGCAAGGTGATGGGCGCGGTGGGGAGACCGCAGCAGGAACAGCAGCAGGAGTTGCAGCTGCCACTGCTGCTGCTGAGCAGCAGCAGCAGGTGTGGGGCGCAGCAGCAGCAGCAGCAGCAGCAGGCCAGCGACAGCCGCAGGAGAGAGACGCAGCAGATAGAATGAGACCTGCGCAGCAGCTGCTTGCTGCTGCTCTACTGGCGGATTTCAGCAGCAGCAGCAACGGGGGGTGGCTGCCTTTCTGCAGCTCACGAGCCTCGCAGCAGCAGCAGCAGCAGCAGCAACAGCAGCAGCAGCAACAGCTGCAGCTGCAGCAGCAGCTGGAGCAGCAACGCCAGCAGCAACTGCTTCTGCAGCTACAGAGACAACACCAACACCAACTGCAGCAGCAGCAGCAGCAGCGACAACAACAGCTGCAGCAGCAGCAGCAGCAGGGAGACGACTCTCTGTTCTTCTGCAGCATTCCTTCTCCAAGGGCAGCAGATGTAAGCTGCGTATACACTCAGAAACCAGGCCGAGTAGCAGCAGCAGCAGCAGCGCCTGCAGCAACAACAGCAGCAACAGCAGCAACAGCAGCAACAGCAGCAACGAGCGGAGTTGAATCTCTGCTGCTGGGAGGAGGGGGTCCTCAGGACCCACTGACATCTTGGCTTCTTGATGAAGCGATACTGCAGCAGCAGCAACAACAGCAGCAGCAACAGCAACAGCAGCAGCAGCAGCAGCAACAGCAACAACAGCAACAGCAACAGCACCTCCTTTCTGCAACGGGCTCGCAAGGAGCCACAGCAGCAGCAGCAGCAGCAGCTGCTGCTGCTGCTGCTAGCTTTGCTGCTAACACAGGTATTTGGTCTGTGCCAGCCGATGTTGAGAGCGACGCCGCAACAGCAGCAGCTGCTGCTGTTGCTGCACGCTTCCTCCCTCCAGGCTACGGGCGCAGCAGCAGCAGCAACAGCAGCAACAGCAGCAGCAGCATAGCAGCAGCAACAGCAGAAGCGCTGGCTGGGCTGCTGCAGCCTCCTCCCCCAGGGCTGTCGCGGCAGATGGGGAATTCCACAAGTGCAGCAGCAGCAGCTGCTGCTGCAGCAACAGCAGCAGCAGCAGCAGCAGCAGCAGCAGCACGAAGCAGCAACAGCACCAGGGGAAGCCCTAACCTTGCGCTACACTCTCTGTGGGGCAACAGCAGCAGCAGCAACAGCGGCAGCAGCAGCAGCAGCAGCAGCACTTGTCTGGGGCTTGGCCTTGGCTCACCTATCACAGATAACCGAGACCGACAGCAGCAGCCTTAATCTTTTTCATGCATGCATCGGTTTAAATAAGAATTAATTTATATATACATATATATTTATATTTATATCTATATTTATATTTATATTTTATATTTATGTCTATATGTATATATATACAAAGACTGTTTCTTCTCTATTTTTCTGTCTGGGGAGAACTCCGCCAGTCTTAGACAGAAACAGCAGCAGCAGCAGCAGCAGCAAAGAGCAGCAGCAAAGAGCAGCAGCTGCGGCTGTAACAGCTGCCTGAGCACAAGCAGCAACCGGTGCAGCATTCGCTGCAGCAGCAAAATAGCAGGAGCAGCGCGTTGCTGCTGCTGCAATAACTGTTGAACATCACCATTTGCTGCTGCTGCAGCGCCACGGAAGCAGCAGCATCTGCAGCAGCTGCTGCTGCTGCAGCAGCCATTTCTGCTGCTGCTGTTGCTGCTGTTGTTGCAGCAGCAGCAGCAAGTGTGAGCCGTGGGTTGCGAGGGATATGTTTTTTTATAATAGAATTGACAGGGAAGAAAGCGAAGAAAAGATTTCTTAAGATTATTTTGTTGGGTTTACTCAGCTGTTGCTGCTGTTTTATCATTATTATTATTAGTATTAGTA